ACACACACACACACACACACACACACACACACACACACACACACACACACACACACACACACACACACACACACACGGTCGCTGGTGCACACCGAAGCTCACTGGTGGATGACCCCACATCCGGTCCCTCCGGGCCTCGCAGTCACTCACTCGCACGCTCACACTCACACACACGCACACACATGCCTCGACTCACCCGGTACATTCACGGGGGAAATGCTCTCCTTACGAGCACTCGAACGTACTCGCTGAATTGGCATTACCTTCAAGCACGGAACAGGAACAGGAACAGACCATGTACAAGCGTGAGCACTGTTCAAGACAGATATTTTGAAGGGAAATCGGTCCTGCACGAAACAACACAGTGCGCATACTCCCTATACTTCTACACAGCCGACACCCATACGGGGTCATCCCAGTCCAACCGGAATCGTTTGTAGCAACGCATTTCCTAGTAGACTGAAAAAATACGTACAAGCCATCCTCTTTCTTGTCCATTAACCATTCGTCTCGTACACGCCATTAATGGCTACACACACACACACACACACACACACACACACACACACACACATTACTTACGCTCGGTGCATTTTCATCACAGTTTGGTAAATGACTTATCTAAGGTACGTGAGCACAATGCCGATGGCCTTGGGGTCTGCAGAGAATGGGAATCAACATAGAAATGCGACGTTAAACGAACACTGATGTTCACAGGCGATGTGTGTGTGTGTGTGTGTGTGTGTGTGTGTGTGTGTGTGTGTGTGTGTGTGTGTGTGTGTGTGTGTGTGTGTGTGTGTGTGTGTGTGTGTGTATAAAAGTACGCGCACCATCAGTCATCTAAATCCCAAACAATTAATTATTCATCAGCCACTATAGATTTTCCCATTACTCTACACGGCTATTATCAAATGACCCGCACGCCAACACAGCCTTGTACACACCAAGGGAATGTACACACCAAAGGAATGTACAGCTAAGGGACTGAAACGTCCAGAGAATGTACAGTCAATGGATTTTACTGTTAATGGAATGTACAGCCGAGGGAAACAGAAAAAAAAACAGAAACTGCATCTCTAAGGAAAGATACGAAGCAATTACGACAGCAAAATCTCCTTAACCTTCATCACGTAGTTTCCAGTTTCACAAAAAAAAAACAGAGGTGACACAGCGTTACAAGCGGCTTCCACTCATGCATTACGACGAGAAGACTGTTCCTCCTGTCCAACGCTTGATTAGGTACTTACATAGACCTCGTTCCTGCCTTCATGTGTTGGGGAGGGGCACGATGACACGAAAACCATAGCAAAACCAAGAAAAAATAAAACCATGTGCTATAGATTCATTATGAGCCGGTGGACGATGCAATACGTACACAACTATGTAAGTAAAGATAAATACACCAGATATATATATATATATATATATATATATATTATATATATATATATATATATATATATATCGAGGGAAAGGAAGGGCGGAGGGATGTAGGGAGAGGGAGAGAGAGGGAGGGAGAGAGGGGGAGAGAGAGGTGAAGGAGAGGGAGGGAGAGAGAGAGAGAGAGAGAGAGAGAGAGAGAGAGAGAGAGAGAGAGAAGAGAGAGAGAGAGAGAGAGAGAGAGAGAGAGAGAGAGAGAGAGAGAGAGAGAGAGAGAGAGAGAGAGAGAGAGAGAGAGTCATCTTTGTGTACCTTACCCCACTCCGGCCTCAACGAAGGTGTGGCTCCTTCAAAACAGGTGCCGTTACTCGAAAACAGCTGTGTAGGTTAACCTTTTCGTGGACTAAAAGTATCTATTTCCATATCAGGTTTCGACATTTTGAATTCTATTTTTATCTTTCACGATGAGAGGGGGGTGGGTTACTTCCATTGGGTGTAATGCGGGAATATAGTTTCGTGTGTTCCCATTGTAGTATGTTTTGCATACTAGGAAAATACACCTTTTTTGAAATTCAATGGTGTTGCGTGGAAAATAGATTTGTTAGATATCAAGATGACACGTACAGTCCATCCAAATATAAAGAATATTTAAAACGAGTTCGTGACTGAACGAAATTGATCAAGCAAAAAAAACTAATTCGCTATTGGTAAATTTCTTAAAGTAAGGAATACCAGGCATTCCAGAAATCACCATTGAAAACACGTAAGCACATACAAAACAATATAAAAGAGCATACTCACCCGAAAATAAGAAAAAAAGATTCCCACAGGTCATGGCCATATGACGTCCATGAAGTGAGTCACAATCCATCGAGAAGCAACGTTTGCGCCGATGCAAGTACCTCTCCCTCCACAAACGTTTCCCCTTATTTCCATTCACGGCACGACCCGCGGCTTTCAACAAACACACACACTTGAGCACGACCTATTGGCTACTGACCAAAACAACGAATGTGCATAGAAGCGATATCGCGTAGCCGCCGAAGTCATACGAAATCTCCCTCGGATCTTCGGAGCGAATTTTCAGAGGACACTCCCACGCAAGTTCTACAGACACACTGACTGGAGATGAGGGCGCCCTGCCAGACGGCCGGCAGATCGACTTCGGAGGTTGTCGTACGCTATCGTAAAACTACAAGCACCATTTTTCCTTATACTTTTCTTTTGTTTTTTGTTTTCGGACTGAGCCATCTGTCTTTTTTTGTAGTTTACACTATGAACATTGTTAATGTAATCATAATTGGCATTATAGCAATACTTATCATCCGCAGTTCTAAATACACTATTGTCATTATCAATACTATTATTGTTATAATTACTACATCGATTATTATTATAATTGCTATCATTATTGGTGTTCATATTATTATCGGTATTATTGTCATTATTATTTTATTGTTATCTTCATTATTATTATCATTCTTATTTTTATTAGCATCCTCAAAGTCATTGCTATTGTTTTTGTTGTTATTAATTGTTGTAGTAGTATCATCATAATCATCATTATTATTATCATCATCATTATTATTATTTGTTATTATCATTATCATTACTATTATCATCATTATTATCACTATTATTATTATTATTATTATTATTATTATTATTATTTTATTTTTATTATTTTATCATTTTTATTATTATTATTATTGTTATTATATTATATATAATAATAATAATAATAATAATAATAATAATAATTATTATTATTATTATTATTATTATTATTATTATTATTATTATCATTATTATTATCATTATCATTATTTTTATATCATTATCATTGTCATCATCATTATTTTTGTTATTATCATTATCAGCAATATCATTATTACTATCATAATCCACATAATCATCAATATTACTATTATCATTAATATTATTATTATTACTACCACTGATATTACTACTGTTATGATTATCCTTACTATGATTATTATTATCATTATCATTATCATTATTATTATTATTATAATTTTTGTTATCATTATCATCACTATCTTTATTAATGTTATCATTATCATTAGCATCATTATTATTCTCACCATCATTCTCATCATAATGGCTATTCTCATTATTGTCATTATTATTACTATCATTGTTATTATTACTGCTATCACAAATTTTAGAATAGTAGTCGTAGTAGTAGTAATAGTAGTATCAATATCATTAGCATCATTAATATTATGATTATTATTATCATTGTTGATGTTATCATTTTATTGTTATTATTATTATTATCATCATCATCATTAGTATCATTGTATTTATTATCTTTATTTTTGTTTTGTTACTATTATCGTTATCACTATTATTATTATTATTATTATTATTATTATTATTATTATTATTATTATTATTATTATTATTATTATTATTATTGCCATTTATATCATTACTATCATTGTCATTATAATCTCTATCATTGTTATTATTGCTATTATTATTATTATCATTATTATCACTACTACTTTTACTACTACTATTGCTATTATTACTATTACTATTATTGTCATTATTATCATCATTCTTATTCTTAGTTTTTTATTATTATTCTCATTCTCATTCTTCTTTTTTGTTAATATTATCAGTAACGTTATCTTTATTATTATCATTATCAATATCATCATAGTGATAATAACTATTATTCTTAAAATCGTATTATTTTTATAATCGTCATAATTATCATTAGTACCATTATTATCATTACGAGTGTCATATCTATTATTACTACTTCTTATTACTAGTGTTTTAATCATAATCAACATCATCATTGCCATTGTTATCATTATTACTATTATCATCATTACTGCTACCATTATTATCACAATTATTATTACTGTCATTATCATTATCATTATTATTGCTATCTTTATTATTATCATTATCACTTCCATTATCATTATCATGGTTATTATTGTTACTATTATCATTATTATTATCATCATTATCATTATCATTATTATAATAATTATCATTATATTATTATTATTATATATCATTATTATTATTATTATTATCATTATTATTATCATTATTATTATTATTGTCATCCTCATCCTCATTATTATTATCATTATTATCATTATTAACATTATTTTCATCATTATCATTACTATTGTTATTCTAATCATCAACTTTGTTTTTTTTCCTTTAATATCATTATCATTATTATTATTGTTTTCATTATTGTTGTTATTATCATTATCATCATTTGTATTGGTAGTAGTAGTGGTATTCATTTAAGCAGTTTTCTTATTCTTATTATCGTTTTATACCTATTCTTATTGATATTATTATAATTGTTCTTTTTATTTTCGTTGTCATTATAATCATTAATACTAGTATCAATAGGAGTAATATCAATAACAGTATTAGTTTTATTAACAGTAGTATTATCATTATTATTGTCATTATTATTATTATTATCAATATTATTATCATTATCATTATTATTGTTATCATTATCATTATTGTATTATCATTACTATTATTACTATTGTTGTTGTTGTTTTTTATCACTATCACTATTGTTATTATCCTTAGCATTACTATTCTTATTATCATTATCATAACCATTATGATTTTTATTATTACTATAATGACTGTGTTGTTGCTGCCGTTATTACTGTCAATACCATCATTAATCATCAATATTGATTATAATTACAACAATAGTTACCATTGTTATTATCAGCATTCATGTCGTCATTATTAGTTTTTATTATTGGTATTATTATCAATATTTCATTACATTATTGCCATTATACATTGGCATTATTACCATTATAATTTCTAACATTACAATTATCATAATTATTATTACACTCAGTATCTTAATCATTATTCTTATCATAGCCATCGTTATCATTATCGTTATTATTAACACCGTTATTACCAACATCATTATCATTATCTTTATCTATCACCATGATTATCAATACCACTGTTATTATAATTACTATTGTCATTATTATCATTACTATTATCACTGTTATTGTCATTATAGCATCATCATCTTTAACATTACTATTATCATTATTGTCATTATAGCATCATCTTTACCATTACTATTATGATTACCATCATTGCTGATATTACTAGTACTGTCACTATTATCATTACTTTCATTGTTATTACAATCGTTGTCACTTTTATCATTGTAACCATAGTCGCCATCATTGAAATGTATTATCATTATTTTGTCATCGTTATTGTTACTATCATGATCATTATCTCCGTTGGTCTTACAATCAGCTATCATCACTATCATAACTATGATGTTGATTATTATTGTCATTATGTTATTAGCATCAGTATCATCATCCATCACCATCATCACTGTCTCTTTATAATGAAATCATAATGTAACTGATAATGCTATCATTGTTACTATAACCTTTTTTATAGTCATTGTGTTTATTATCATTACTGTTATCATTATCATTTGCATGTGTTATCCTCAATATCATTCTTTTTATCAACATCACCATTATCCTTATCTTTACCATTATTACTACCTTTAGCAGGGGTAGTGTAAGTGACAGTTTATTGGTACTGATCATGTCATTATCATTATTCTTATCACCATTACAAATATTGTTACTGCTGCAAATTATCTTTAGTATCGTCAATAGTATTAGGAATAATGTAATCAAAGTAATCATCATTAAAACTATTGTTGCCTCACCATCAATGTCATAATTGTCGTTTTAACAATTATTTTTGTTTTCATTCCTATCACTAACATTATTGTTGTTATAATCATTATATGTATCATTATCAATATTATTGCTGTTTACTTGACCATGGTATCTTAATTCCATTGGCAATTAAGGTAATTCCATGCAAAGCAATATATATATGTATCTTACTTAAGGATTATCCAACTAGCGTTTCAAGTGTTTTTTTTTTCTGACAGCCATGACTCGGTAATGAATCTTTTTTTTTTCTCATGTCACTAGATTTTTAAATATTTTCCATCTCTTTTGACCATATTCTTATGTGAAAAAGATTTTGTCTTTCAGTTTACGCCATGATGTCAATAACTTCAGCACGAGAGTTACCAATGCATAAGATTTCATTACTATGGGCGTCTTCTGTAGCGTCCTTAATTCTTAATACCGTATTTAGTTTAATCCCAATCCACCGTGTCGCCAACTCTATACGAAAGATAGAAAGCATGGCAAAAGCCTGTGACCCAGCGGTTGGTGGATAGGGTAATCTAACAATAGATGGCGTTGTGTACGCGATGTATCGTCTGTTTGTTTGCTATTATGAAACGTCACTTACTCTGGAAGGAAGGGATTGTTTTTTTTTTTTTTTTTTGCATGTTTTATGCTTCCGATTGTTTTAACCAAAGACTATAAAAGAAAGATACGAAAGCACGTATTACAACGAAAAAAAAGTGAGGCCCAAAACTTCATACAACGCCATCTATTGTTTAGGTATATAACTAAAAAAGGAGAACGATTATAGGGGGGACTATAAATTTACATAGTTTATTATTTATTTTTTAAGGTCTAGTTTCAGTTGAAGTTTTGCAATGTATTTCTTTTAATGAGAGGAAAAATCTATTAAATAAATTACTTATATATATTTCTTAATTTGCATGAAATTATATATAATTTCTATTCTTTAATATATTGTTTTCTTGTTAGAGATTTCTTTACATACATCAAAATAATGTTTTGCACTGTTTTTTTCAGAATATGGCAATGAAACATTTATTAATAATTATCTCATGTGTATGCATATTTCCATGACATAAAATTATTCCATTATTCAAATACTATACAATTATATTCCAGAAAATATCCTTGCTGTTAATACAATGAATATGAACTTAAATTCAACAAACTCTACAATTTATTAGATAAACAAATCTGTTAAATAAACTCCACAATCATGTTTTTCATTCATTTATGTTGTGTCATTAAATCAAGGATATACAAAGCACATTTGTGTTAAACATTTCTTTATTTGATTTCAAGACATTATCAATAAAAGTATTAATAAAAGCAGGCCTACAGTTAAAGCAACAGGAAGCAAAAAACATGC